GAGAAACTGTTCGCTGCGCGGTGCGGAGTTGAGCCGTGGCTGAAACGGTGATTTTGTGGCGTCTCTTGACTTAAAGTAGATCCGATCGAGGAAATGATCTGACTGCTAAAACCCCAAGTTGCTGCTTTAAATGAAGAAGACGGCGTTTAAGCTCCAGGTACAGAAGAATAGAGCTCCATCTTTAAGGAAATAAAAGTGGACTGTCATTCACACAGGCACCACCAGAACACATCAGAGCTTTTAAACCTGATTCAAGAAGGACTTTCGGCCAATTTTCAGTTCATCGGAGTTCCACAGCAATTATGCCGCAGGTGGACATGATCCTCTTCCTCATCCTCATCATTGGGATGTGCGTGTACGGCCAGGACCCTGCTTCCAAGGTGGTGTCCGACCGCTACGCCGTCTTCTGGAACAGAACCAACCCCAAGTAAGTAATCCCGCTATCCCACAGGGACGCAGCGACACGGAGCGGGGAGAGGGGGCTCCCTGTGCCCCGCAGGAGCGCCCTGTGCGCTGCCCCGTGTGCTGCCCCGTGTGCAGCCGTGCAAAAGGCTGATTGATCGGTTGAGGTGGTTACACTCTCAGCTCCATTTGTAGCATTACAGGTGTGCGCAACTGAAGGTAATGCACTTTAGGAAGCAAAGCAAGAACCCAGCATTAAATACTGATAATTTAATGGCTCAGCTGTTATCACACCTGTTTGTATCCATGATGTAACATTTGCCTTTGAAGTGCCACCATCTTTAAATCTTCAGATTTAAATCTTCCTGGCAGATTGCTCGCTGCCTCACTCACCTTAATAATTGTTGTCCTTGTTGATGGATTGTTGCATTGACTGAAGATTAATTGTCCCTCATGTCTGAGTCTTCTTTGTAATGAACCGTGCACATTTAGCTGCATAAATCTCCCCGTGACAGCTCCTCAACAACAAGGTGTTTTTACACAGGCTGTCATTTACGTGCTGTTATCCATTAATGCTCACTGTTTGCTCAACATTATCAGGCTGGAAATTTGAATGCAGAAGTGTTACAAGTGCTGCTGGGAATGCGTTACTGTGCTGCTTTAAAAATAATGCTGAGCCGCTTGCAGTCTGCTGTCATCGATTAGAAATGACAGGATCGTTTTTGTGCCAAATGGAGACTCATCCTGTGAGGGATTGCTGATATTCCCTGTCAGCTTAGGGTTAATGTTATTGATCTATCGCACTATCGCTTTGCCCCGAGAGAGCTGATAAATTGTAATCTGATGTGTTTCTTGCTTCCTGTTTGAGAGGTTTCTCCCAGAAACTTTTGCTTGGATCCTGAGGTGACATTTCTCCTCCGAAACTTCCTCTTGCCTGTTCCTGGGCGCCTCCCTCCCTCAGTGACTCAGTGCTTCACTTTTCCACCTTCAGCACCGGAGCACATAGTGATATGATGAGTGTTTGTCACTTTGTTTCAGCTTGAATACTTTCTTTATTAGCAGGCTGCAGTTTCAGAATGAGTCAATAAATGAATATTATATCAACATTTGCTCAGGGGCCAGGAACTGGTTTCTGGGCTTCAACAGTCAAAACACACATCAAGAGCCTTTGTGTGTCTTTGTAATGGTCACCCTGAGGGCAAGTATGTGTTACGGAGGAGTTAAACTGACAGGATGTTAATGATAGAAATGCAAATGCTGCAGCGGTGACATCAAAGGAGGTGATGCAGTTCTTGCTCTGCTGCTAACAGAAAGATATCTGAGTCTGATAACAGTCTTCTGTCACACTCGCTGGCTGCAGGTCCTCTCCTCCCTCCATTTTTGGCATTGAAGCAGTTTCCAGTTCCCAAGTCTAGTTCCTTGGTTGCCATGCTTCCCCCCCACCCCCTTATCCAAGTGTCCCCTCCGCCCTCCTCCTGGCCCATGCTGGGGCAGACAATAAGCGGGTACACAGGGGTATTTCAGCAGCGGCCAAGGCACAGCGTGGCGCTCAGTCTTGTGAGAGATCCACACATGCTGAGGTCACACACTTGGTAGTAACCAGGCAAGTTGCGGGTTAAGCAGCACAGAGGGGACCGTTGTCAGGGTCAAAACCAGGGCAGTACCGCTGGCCATGGGGCCCGATGACGGGCCCAGCACGGCACCCTGCCTGGACTTTGTCTCGACAGAATAGGGACTAAATAAATGAGTAACTCTAAATGACTGTCTCCTTTTCTCATTCATGACTTTAATCTAAACCTGACCCTTGCTGTATAATGTAAAAGAGGGCCATGCTAAAAAGCCCAGGGGCCCCTGACCCGCAGCAGAACTTAAGAGTATTCCATACAAGCTGGCGGGTGCTGAATCCCTGCTGTTTAATGTAACCATACTCAGTGTTGGAGTCCTGGGAACCTGCTGCGGTACAGTCCCAACTTCCAGATGAGCTTTCTTACCCCCCTCTTCTCCTGTTTCTGCTGCATATTTGACCAAAGTGAGGAAAAATGGCATCCGGAGCAGCAGTCCATACTCAGCCATTCATGAAATGCCCTACAGGAGCTCTGGAATTGAAATGGGAAGTGAGTCGTGAAAAATGGAAATGCTTTGACATTTTCATGTTTTTTCCATTGTTTCAGAGGAGCTGCAAGGAGCCCTTTTTTGTAATTTCGATAAACGTTGCGTTCGTGTTTGCCTTGCTTTCATCTTGGGGAACAATCTTCCTGCGCTGATGCTCGGTGCTGATTAGGCTCAGATGAGCGGGACTTGGAGCGGCGGTGGAGGGATTTACAGCCCTCAGGATGGCTCAGCCTTGCCTGGAGTTTGAAAAGCTTTCACAGTCGGTGACAGCAAGTCGCTGTGCTTGTATAAGCTACTTAATGAAATTAAAGAGAACTCCAGTATCAGGGAGACTTGTTAAAAAGAAACAGCTCACACATAATTGATATAATGACTTATAGTTATTTTTTTAAATGTTAAATCCCTCAAAAAGAACTAAAAAGACTTCAGATTATTGTCAGCTAAATCTGTCTGGTGTAGAGGCTGGAGGAGACAGGAAAAATCGGTCCCATTAGTTTAAGGGGGTGTTAGCCATGACGCACTTGGCTGCTATGCTGCTTTGGAAAGCAGCTAATTTGGATATAAACTTTAAAAATGCTGGTGTTTTACATAAATCTGCAAAGAGTGTGTGCCTCCTCTTAGGTCAGATATTGTCTGTGTGGTGGCCGTGCCGTTTGAGAAGGTTTATAAGAACTGTGTACTTAATAAATTGTTCATAAAATATGAGTTTATTAAAGGAATTATGTGTATTGACAGATGTGTAGAAAGCAATTTTGCAGACAAACTTTTGTGTTCTCGGGTTGCAAAATATTTTTCTGCTATTCACATTTACAGCCGTACCCTGATGGAAGATTTAGTGAGATTTACAGATGCACTAATATTCATAATAACACACCTCGGGGCGTTTTAGGACCTTGTTTCTGCAAAGTGATCCATTACTATTAGTATATTAGTGCATTAAAGCCAGTAAAACAGGCATATTGTGTCCATTACGTTATCTTTTGGGCCAGTTGAAACTCTCCTATGGTTGTGACACATGATATCATGAGACTATCCGCTTCTCTCAGGGTGTAACGGACCATTCCTGCTGCTCCGTAGAGCGGCGTTTTAGCCAGCTAGCCAGCTGCGAGCATGAAGATCCATTTGAGTGAGTCCACATCGTCAAGTGATGCTGAGCCTCAGCCACTTAAATCTGCGTTGGGATTATTCTGGGGTTCCTTGGAAGATTTTCTCCTCTGTAAGAAGTCTCTGGCCCCCAAAAACACTGAGAACCTCTCATTTAGAAGGAGAGAAACATATGATCAAAAATAAAAAAAGTTTTTGAAATGTTGTTGGTGTATTTTCAGGTATTACGGTTAACTGCTGCTGCAATCTGCTTTAAAAAGTTGTACCAAATGTTTAAGAAATAACTTTAAATGTTTAGTTGAGCAGATCTTGGAGTGCCAACAAATATTGTTAATGTCAAAGTAATAAAGCATTAATAACTTATCTATTACTATTAATTTAACGTCTATCCTACCTTATAAAGTGTTTTCCTGTGAAGGTTTTAATGCTCATAACAGTTTGGAGACCACCTTTAGTAATAACTATATGAAGTATGATGTGAAAACTAGCAATAAATCCAGTTGTGGCTTACAGGCCCTCAATAAATTTTATGAGATTATATTATTAAATGTTCACCTAGTGTGATCCATCCTCATAAATGTAACATATGAAGCGTTTATTAAAAAAGTAACAGCAGGGTAAAAACAGCCCAGTCAAGGTAAGAAACCTGGAAAACAAAAACTGCAGCTTTTCCTTGTGGAAACACTCATGTAAGAAAAATGAGCCACAGATGTTCCTTGTCAGCTTAGCCGGCTGTGTCAGTAACCAAATGATGGAATAAAGTGAACGAGTTGGGTATTTAGTGCTGCACTGACAAGGAGCTATTAGCGAATTCCCTGCTCACCAGCTATTTAGCTGCTTCATTAAAGCCCACCCGGGTCCATATGGTCTGCATGCAGGCGTTGCCTTCGCCCAAGGTGTTTATTTGTTGCTGATAGGTGGGATCAACTGAGAATCAGAGCTGAGTTCCGACCCTAATCTCCCAAGCTGTTTGTGTCTCCGATGCCATGGAAACTGATACCCCTCGTCATCAAAGAACCTCATTGGGTGGGACTAACGACCTGACAGCTGGGCAGAGAGGGATTCCAGCATTCAGGGGGAGCACTGTCACCCCAGGGGTTTCCTTTAATCCTTGATAATGCTCATCCAAAGCTTTCCGCAGCAGATGCAACATATTTCTCCATAAGATAGTCAAAGAATCTTTTCAGTGGCCTATTTTCATGTTTAAGTGTTCACTTAAAAGACCTCTCTGATGATTGGCCGTTTGCAGTGAAACCCTCCGCGTGCACAGTTCTCCTCATGGCAGAATGACCTCCGATATTTGTTTTTCCTCCACCGCTCTCTTTTTAATCTCCACTTAAAGAAACAATACTCCATTTTTCACTTGGTGGCGAGCTGATGTTGTGATAGTTTCCCAGTGGCATTGTGAGTTGCCCCATTTGCATTGTTCCCAGTGTTTACCCTCACTTTCCCCTCTCAGCCTTTTCCCGGCTCCCTGCTGCTTGGTTCCGCTTGGATTAAAAACGGACACAAAAAGGCAACCACGTCCAAATATTGACTGGGTCTCAGGACCGTAGTCCTCTCCCAGCGCTGGCACAGAACGCCTGAAAGGCCGCTATTGTTCCACTCGTACTCAGCAGCCCATAGCCGGCTTTTTAGCTATGCAGAGACAGAGAGGAGGAGGAGGAGACGGGAGAGGGAGAGGTGGAAGTGAAGAGTGTGCGTGTGCTATCTAAGGTGGGGCAGGGGGTTTCTACGGAGAAACTTACACATAAGAGGCCAGAGGCTACAGCAGGGGAACAGTGTCCAGGCCGCGGCATCCCAGGGTGG